ATACATCGCCAAGCTGCCTCAAGGGTTCCCATACGCGCCGCTTGGCGGTAATCACACTTCAAATATTCTAGGCACTGTACTTCTAACCACTACCACCACCGATGGATAGATGGACATGGCTGTACCCTCTATATTGGGCGGTGGCTGGCGCCACCAAGCCGTAATACTTAATGAACCCAAAACTATATTTATTTTTTTTTCCTTAAAAAGTGAGCTTAAGGATTCGTACTTTGCAGTGAAGAGTTTAATTTTCACTCGTGCCTTGACTTTAGCCACCAATCAGATAACCTCCTTCTAGTTAAGTCTACTTGCTTAAAGTCTATTTTGCCCTCCCGGTCCCTAAACCCCAGTGCTTTGAAAAGCTCTGTGCCATCATCCTGAACTAGAGGGTGAAGCCCTTTACAGAACATTATCAAGTGTTCGGCAGTTTCTTCTTCCTATCCACACGCACTGCATACTGTGTCTACCCCTTCGTATTTGGCCCGATATGTCTTGGTTCGCAGTACTCCCGTACTTGCCTCAAACAGTAGAGAACTACCCCGAGTAGTATCATAGATCCTTTCCTTGGCAATTTCCTGCTTAAAAGTTCGATAGATCTCTAGTGCGGACTTCTTAATCATGCCGATTCTCCACATGTCAGTCTCCGTTTCCTTCACTTTCTTCTTAACCGATAGTTCTCTTTGGTTTGGCCACCTGCTGTTTTCTAAGTATTTACCAGTCAATTTCCTGGTTCGCTTCCTCCATTTTGTATCGACATTCTTCATGTACAAGTAGCTGAAAACCTTCCGAGCCCAACGCTCCTCCTTCATTTCTCTCAATCGCTTCTCAAATTTTATCTTGCTGCTAGCTTCCCTGCCCTCAAATGATGTCCATCCCATATCACCTTGTACTCCCCGATTTGGTGTATTCCCGTGAGCTCCTAATGCAAGCCTACCTATTCCACGTTGCTTAATTTCTAATCTTGCTTGAACTTCTGATCTCATGCACTAGACCGCATTGCCGAACGTCAGCCCAGGAACCATGACTCCTTTCCATATTCCTCTCACAATATCATACCTATTGTAATTCCACCGTGCCCTGTTTTTCATTACCGCTGCGTTCCTGTTACCTTTAGTCGTCACGTGTGTTTCGTGTTCCGTTACGTACTCGGCCCCATTGCTTTTCCATACGCCCAGATATTTGTATTTATCTGTTATCTCTAGCATGACCTCCTGTATTCTAAGCTCACTACCTTCATTGTCAATAAAAATCATGACTGCTGATTTTTCCCTACTGATTTTGAAATCTAACCTATCTCCCTCAGTACCGCAGATGTCCACCAATCTCTTCAAATCTTCCTTGCTGTCGGCCATTAGCACTATATCATCTGCGTACATCAATGCTGGTAGTGCCTGTTCAATGAGTTTTCCTTGTTTGACGAAAGAAAGGCTGAAGTCCAGTCCACTTCCCTCTAATTTTGCCTCTAATCCTTGTAGATACATCATGAATAATAAGGGTGACAGGGGACACCCCTGTCTAAGCCCCCTTTTACCTCTGCAGGCTTGGATACCTGTTTTTTCCACTTTATAACTACCTTGTTACCTTTATAGATATCCTTCAAAAGATTAGTGACTACATGTTCCACGCCGAGTGTGTCCAGTATTCCCCACAATTGCTCTTGAACCATGCCTTCGTACGCTCCCTTGATATCCAAAAATGCTAGCCACAGCGGCCTGTGTTCCTTTTCTGCTATTTCGATGCACCGCGTCAGTGAGAACAGATTGTCTTCCAATCTCCTGTGTTTCCGAAACCCATTCTGCAGTTCCCCCAGCACCCCCTCGTCCTCTATCCACACCTGCAGTCTTTCCATTATAATCTGCATCGCCAGCCTGTAGACCACTGATGTCACTGTTATAGGATGGTAGTTGTTTATGTCAGCTTTGTCCCCCTTTCCTTTATAGATCATGCTCATCCTGCTAAGTTTCCATCCATCGGGAACTTCACCATCGATTATTATTTTGCTCACTGCCTCTCTCAAAGCCTGCTTAGACTTCGGACCCAATGTCTTTATCAGCATAATTGGAATGCCACCTGGGCCTGTTGATCTACTACTAGGAACCCTTTTCTAAGCCCTTTCCCACTCTCGTTGTGAAAATGGAGCCATTGCACCACTTGATTCGTCCTTGTCAATTGTGGTGCATAAAGTACTTCTTTGTTGAAATTTTTCTGTCACCCTTGTTCTTATATATTCAATAGCTTCGTCCCATTCTAGCCTGGCACCTTGAGCTGTAATTATAAAACTCTGCTCTAGGCTCGTCTCATTTCTTAGGGAGTTCAGATGGTTCCAAAATTTCGCAGCTGCCTTTCTATCTTCTTCATGTACTTCTGCCAGCCACTGAGCTCCCTTTCTTCTAATCTTTTCATTGATCAGAAGGGATGCAACCCTTCTACAGCTTAGAAAGGTTTCCCATTTTCTTTCAACATCATCTGTCGGTTCACCCCGCTGCTTAGCATGTCTGTGTTCCCTAGAGGCTTCCTGACGTTTTGCTATGGCTCTCTTAACTTCCTCATCCCACCAACTTTTGGCTTTGTGTCTTCTTTTCCGGGGTGACTTGTTACGCGTCTTAGCAAGCTCTAGCTCAAAGAGTCTAATTAGATTCGTGTATGTCCACACTGTCTTATTATCCTCCGTGATTACTTTCTAAATTTGTTTAGCGGCTATTTCAACTTGCCTTTCTGAATAAAAATTTTCCTGTAGTTGCTCATCTTGTCTCCTTCCCACTTTCACTGCTCTTCCAAAACTTAGCTTGATACGTTTGTGATCACTACCCAGACTTCTGGAGCCACCTTCATCTATGTGCATTCCCCTGAGCTAATCATACATCCTATGTGACATCAGTGCATAATCTATCGTCGACTGCAGCCTTCCTACCTCCCATGTTACCTATTCGGTAGAGCGTCGCGCTGCGGCCCGCCAAGTCCTTTTTCTTTTAAATATAGAGAGAAGACTGCGGAAGCCGCCGACGGCGGTGAATGGTTTGGGGTCGCTTATAAAGTGTATTCACACTTAAAAAAAGAGAGAAACGTGAATCAATATACGACAGCATGCAACTTGAAGAACGCAACACCACGTGCAGCACAGCGAAGGGAGTACCGCCCACATGTTTACACAGCGCCACTACCCATTAGCGGCGATTAGGGGAAACACTAGCGCCGACGGCCGTGAGAGGGCTTTCTTTCAGGCACTGAAAGTTATAGAGAAGGCAGTGGACTAGGTAAGTTGCAAAACTCCTTGCGTCTGACTACTCGTCACACGGCGCCAGGACAGCTTCCGGTTTGGTGGCACTGGCGGCGCAACAAGCTTCCGCTAGCAGACGAAAACGTGTAGTCGTCGTGGCAAGACGCCGTGGCGGCCGTTTTCAAAGAGCTTTTCCAACAGTATATTATCGAGTTTTGTTGTGCTGCCGCAGAAACTTAATACTGCGTAATATTTAGCGGTGTAGGGCAAATACAGTATAATTATGGTTTTCTGAACTGCCCACAATAAACAATGCTTGATATAAATAGCATAACATACGAGTCTGTCGGTTAGTTGCTAGTTGGTGTACATTCGCAATAGATTTTTAGACGTGAAAAACCCAATTACAATGTCTGGCATCCTCTTTTGTGGCTGTGTTTTTCAGGCTTGAAAATAAATTACAACTATGTGGCACGATCTCGTGGCTTTTGTCTGGTTATCTAGTCAGCTTTTTTTTTTCATGTCCGTCACATTCTTTAGCAACTTAGACCGTCGAAAAGCTACGCGTGGGGCCATTTTCTTGAGCATGTCTTCCCTCTGCTTCTTCTGGAGTTTCTCTAATGAAACCTGTTAACACAGCTGCAGCCAAAGCTTCGAGCAGAGACCGCACATTGGGGTATCGGTGAGCACTTCGTAGTCATTACTCACGAGTCTGCCTGCTGACGCATTGGGACAACATGAACACAGTTGCAGCTTTTCTATGTCCTCCAGAAGCTCGGCCCATTGGGTGATGGTATCTGCATTGCCAGGCAACTTGGCTAAGAGATGGTGACTGCTGCTAATGGTGACTGTCATGTCTTCTGCGACGACAACGCATTTATCCACAAATAGCACTCTTTTTTTTCTTTGAGCCCCAGAAACACCACAAGACAAGACGTCTTGTGTTGTTTCTCGCCATTCTCAACAACTTTCCGCCAGCATGCAAACAAGCGTTTTCTATGTCTTGAAGCGAAATGACGCCACTAGTTGACGGCATGTCGGGACTTATTTCCCTGTCTTCGAGCTCAGTGCTCGGAGATGGTCAATTTTTTTTTTCGCCGATTTTATTCTGGAAAATACCCGACTCCTATCGAGCAGCTTTCGCTTCTTTGTCGCGGGCCCCGCGACAAATGTTAGCGGGCAAATTCGGGAATATTCGTGGAACGCATCCTTCAACGAGGTTCCACTTTCCTTTTGCGATTTGTACCTTCTTACCATATGACGTGAGGGAAAGTCTTCAGGATGTCCTTCTAATGAAAGTGCACATCACACACACGTGAGGTGCTGGTCAGTTTCTTATCCGCACGAGGAATAGCGTGGTACCATACCTCTCGCTGCTCAGGTACACGTGGGCACAAAACAAATGTCGTGGTGTCTCTCATCTCCTGTAGCTACTCTACAGCCGAGAACGCAACATCTGGGCATGATGAAAACACGCAACACATACAAAGCAGAACAGGGCGCGCTGAAGCACAAAACTGTTCACGCAGAAAGAAGCCTCTACAGATATCGACGCACTGCAACATTCACAGGCGATGGAGGTTACGGGAGTGACACGAGCGCGCTAGGTGTTCTGTGAGCGAGCATGCAGTGAGTGAATCCGGATGCGACAGCAGCGCCGCATTTGTCACTGGCAGCGGCGGCGCCGCGCAACATCGCTCAGTTTTGCAACTTACCTAGTCTAGAAACCTTGGGTGTTCTGTGACTGAACGTGCAAGCACAGAACACCTGTGCAAATCACGAGGCATCGCCATCGTGGTAGGTGTTCTGTTAGCATCGCCATCGAACAACATGGCAGCTACAAGCTTCCGCTCGTGTACGTTGTCATCGCGCTGATCATACAACCCGGCAGTATGTCCGGATTCACAGAGTCTGCATTGGAAAGAAAGCTCGCTGAGCTAAACAACTCGCAGCAGAGTATTCAGACGTTGTCTCTGTGGCTTATTCACCATCGAAAACACCACAAGACTATCGTTCATGTTTGGCTACGAGAACTCAAGAAAGGTAAGCGGCAGTTTCTGAAACTGTCTTGGTGTGCTACGGTGTGGATACCATAGATCTGTTCTAGCCTTCGGTAAGCTGCCTGCTGAAGCACATTAATATCGCGAATCGGATGCGGCTCGCGCTTTCCAACCTTGTGGTCGGGGTCTAGATAGAAAAATTTAACTTTTTTCGGCGTATTTGCCGTGCTGTTAACGCGCTGCTGTTCTTTTTTCTTCTTTTTGTTTTGTAGATGCTCGTAACAGGGCTCGGACACCCTGATAACAGCAGTTTTTGAACTACAAGCAGCGTTTTTGTTTGATTTAAATTTGCGTACTTGGGCCTGGGTTGTGTTGCAGTGGCAAAGGCGCGAATGGAGTTATGAACGTGTTCTGTGACCTGAAAGTCGATCCTTCGTTTATTAGCATTAATAGGTATCACGGTAACTGTGGCACTTCATAAAGTGGAGATTCCTGTTCACTTTAGCAGACATTTATTTTAGGTTATTCGATTATGTCGAAATTAATCTGGGGTCATCTTGGCACGCAAGCCACACCAATACTAGGCGCCTTGCTGTTGCGCTAAGGTAAACTATGTGACCGATTTATTTCTTAAAAATACACTGTAGATAAGGCGAAAATTGCTGTAGAGTACCTTAGTGGCATCGAACGGGATGAGGTTTATTGGAATCGCAGCACAAGATGACTTCGTTGTCTTCAGTGTTCCATTTGTCGAAAACACGAAGGCGCGTCAGCATCTTTACAGAATACTTTTATTTTCTCTGAGGAAGAGACCTGGGAGTTATTTCTTCCACTTCTCTTTTCAGACCATCTCGTAAGAAAAAGAAAAAAAAAAAGCCGTTAAGTTTACTGGTGAGAATAACCTGACGAGTTGCATGTTCATTGTTCGGGTTTTATGCTTAAGTGTGTAATGTAGAGAGGTGACGTGGTTGGGTAAAAAAAATGGCTACAGAACTTGAACTTTTAAGTGGAATACAGCATGCAACCCCATGGTTTTAAATTAGAAAAAGGGGGTGGGGTTACTAAAAGGAACTATGTTTTACGTTTCATATTACACGCTACCTTTATGAATGCTTCCTTGCTCTGCTTGAAATTTAGTACTGGATCTACATTACGCCCTATTGACTGCTGTGGTAGCTGCTACAGATAGTTGTGGGTACAATAGCTGCCTCTGGTAAAGTAATTTTGGTGAGAGTAAAATGTCTCTGAGTGTGCATTTAAAAACATAGGTAATCATATTGTTTGGTGTCTCCAACGGCAGCAGGGGTATCAGACTCGTCTCAGCTAGCAGGTCGCAGTCACGGAAATAGGTTTCTGAAGTGCTGAGATAGTGAGGAAGGTTGAAGCGAGGAGGGAGGGTAGAGTGAAATGTCAGCTAATGTTGCCATTTAAAGGGCCCCTCACCAGGTGATATAACAAATTTTAGTTTGACACTGGAGGTTGTGCTTTTAACAAAAAGCATTAGGCCATAAGAATTTTTGTAATTGGTCCTTTAGAAGCTGAGTAAACCAATGTTTTTAGAATCTGCACAAAACCATGATGCGAAGAGGCGAGCTTTAACTCGTGAAACTTGCCCCGTATAACATTTCCCTGCCCTTTTTTGAACATGTGCGGGAAGATTACAGGGAACATACACATGAACACATCATGCACACACAAGGTTATGAGTGCATGACGTGCTATCAGCCTGAGCTCCCGAGACGCGAGCGGTGTTGTGTCGGTGTTCTCTGCTTCGTCTCGGCAAGCTATGGTGAATGTACCCTCGCTGACCACTTGGGTTTCAACCTATTACTGAGCATGAAAGCTGCGACATTTGCATAGATGTTATACTAGCGGTGTTAGACGCTGGGGAATAAATGAGTCTAATAAATTAGTTTTATTGTAAGGGGTGGCATCTGCATGATGCTCAAAGCACAAGAATACGAATGCATGTGAAACTGAGACCGGTTAGTCTTGCATCTTGGTGATTTGCAGTATGAATTTTCAAAAAAGAAAATGTGCAAGTGAGTTTTATTATTGCTTGCAAGTTTTCAACATATGTAACAGTGCACAAAACTGGAAAAAAGAACAGAGAAAAGAGTGTAAATACAGTGATGCAAGTGCTGCTCAAAACTGCCCCAAAAGAAAAATGCTGCTCCAAAGTGTCATTTGTTAGTAACTGCTGTGAACCTGTTCCAAAATGGTATGGGGAAATGGAAAACAATGAACTTGAAATGTGTGATTGTTCAGCAAGCCTACATGAAACCAAAAACAAGCTGTATATGCTATCATCGTAATATGCTAGTATGCAGCTTGCTCACTAACTACATACTAGCTGCACACTAGCATATTGACAATGCCAGAAATGCTGGCAATAAATGTTCTAGCACTATATTTAGGTGTAGATATGGACCTGACAAGCAGATTATTTTCGTGAAGCGTAGGTGATGATAGTTTGATATCATAGTCTTTACTAACATCTGTTCGGACGATTTTGATGTGTGACCGATTACACTTACCATTATGTCAACTTTCACCACACTTAATGACACAAGAACTGGCTCTTTATGTAAATAGCTTTCTTTTAATTTTTGATGCCGGCTATTTCTGGAACATGTGAGAATTACATATTCCTTTCATCTCGCACCAATTTTAAACTGCTGCTTTGGTGACAGTTTCATGTGATTGTGCCTAGTTTTATAATTTGGTGCCCAGCTTTATCACTTTAAGTCATTCATGCCACAAGTACTGGCATTTTAAATATGAGAAGCTCATTTTAGTGTTCAGTGATCATCCATCTAAAGCAAGAGAGTAAAACGTAGCTTCCATCACTGTAAATAGTGCTCTTTATACACTCTGTCCCTGTCATCTTTTCCGGTTATGTTCGCTGCTACATGTGTTGTAAACCAACTGGCCCAGCAAGCAGCCATCCTTCTCAAGTTTAATTTACCTATTCATGTTACAAAATACGCAAGCTACAAATGTTGTGTCAAATTATTGCAGCGTCACATGCTACAGCTGAAGACATCATAGCACCGGAGTCTATGTAGAGGGCCCCGCCGCGATGGTCTAGTGGCTAAGGCACTCGGCTGCTGACCCGCAGGTCGCGGGTTCGATTCCCGGCTGCGGCGGCTGCATTTCCGATGGAGGCGGAAATGTTGTAGGCCCGTGTACTCAGATTTGGGTGCACGTTAAAGAACCCCAGGTGGTCGAAATTTCCGGAGTCCTCCACTACGGCGTCTCTCATAATCAAATGGTGGTTTTGGGACATTAAACCCCACAAATCAATCAATCAGTCTATGTAGAGGAGCGATCTCGCAGTACTACCGACTGCGTAGTGGATTTCATCCCTTCAGCTTGAATTGAAATTACACTAGCTTCCACGGCACGCAACATTGCTAATTCTGGCAGACAGGATAATGAAGGCTTAGTGTATGCCTTGCGCTTGTCAGCTCAAAATTGTCAAACCTGGTGAGAGCTCTTCAATAGACCTTTTATATATTTTGCATAAGTGTGTCATTTCTCAAGAAAGTTTGGCACCTGGATTTGACACTCATGTTTTATTTATTTTTATTTATGAATACTGCAACCCTAACATAGGGTTTTGGCAGGGTGGATATACATTTGATAAATTTACAAATTGGCAAACAAATAAATATAAAACAGGTAAGGCATTTACACACTTTCAGAACGAAAAAAAAAGAACAGTGGTTTGTAATAAACCGGCATAAGAACATATAGAGAAATGAGCGCTACATTCAAGATGATCACAAGTGGAGAATGGTTACAGTGATTGAAATAAACAACAGGAGCACATGTCATAGAAATTAGACACTCGCTGCTAGAGCTGCACAGCAAAAAGGTTCAAGGATGACTGGGAAACAATTTCGTTACTAAGGTTATTCCATTCTGTAATTGTCCTAGGGAAGAACGAATACTTGAATGTGTTATTACGGGTGGAAAATGGGGTTATTGTAAAGGCGTGCCTCTGCCTTGTGGTATATCCTGTGGACAAATGAAGTATATGTGATAAGTCTAACTTAAAATAACCTTTAACTAACTGAAAGAAAAATTTCAATCTCGATACTTTATTTCTTTGTGTAGGTGTTGGGAGGTTAGCTTTTGCTAATAAACATGTTATTGAAGTACGACCAAAACTGTTATAAATAAACCTAACAGCTCTCTTTTGAATTTTTTCCACTTTGCTATTTTTTCTGGTGTAAGAGTACCAAATTATGGATGCATAATTTAAAGTAGGTTGAACAATTGCATTAAATGCAACAAGGCAAACGGCGGGAGTGGAGTGCTTAAGAGCTCGTCTAAGATAAAATAATTATTAATTGCACGAGCTTATTAGAGTGTTAATATGTCTCGTCCAGTTAAGGTCATTCGAAATCCAATGACCAAGGTACTTGTAGTGCTGTACCTCCTGCAAAAAAAACATCATTGGCTGAATATGCAAAATGAAGAGTGTTAGGTTTGTGAGAAATTTCATGAAAACGGTCTTTTTAAAATTAACATGTTGATACCAGTCTTTAAGAATTACTAAAATGTAGACTTCGATTTGGAAATAGCTTTTGTTCCACAGTTGTTTCAGCAAATGGTGAAAAAGATGCTTCAGGCCAGTCAAAGCTGAGTATCTTACCTGAGTGAGGTGTTATTAATCACGATAGAAGAGAAAATAATGCAAGTACTACTCAGCAAAGTCTGAGAACTCTCTTCTTGTGAAGCATAAAATAACTGCTCATGTTCTAAACACGCTCTCTTAAACATACTGTCGACAATGGGGCAGTTGTTAATTGGGGGCTGAAAGCTCGTGAATTACTCATTAAGGAATGTGTGTGTGTGTATGGGTGTGTGTATGTATGTGCGTTTTTGAAGACGGTCATGTGGGGGCTGCATGTTTGTGACCCCTGCACTACAGCTTGCCTCTTAATGATCCGGCATCGATAAAATAGATTCCAAACCAAATTGTTTTGATAACTATTTGGTTATGCTATTATATGTCCAATAAAAGAAGAAAAAAACTACACATTGCACGGCATAGTTTCTTCACTTAGGTCAATTGTGATGTGTGTAGGATGCAAACAGATTTTGTAAGCTTTGGATGTATGTTTTAAAGAACCCAAGGTGGTCAAAATTTCCCGAGCCCTCCACTACGGCGTCTCTCATAATCATATGGTGGTTTTGGGATGTTAAACCCCACATATCAATCAATCAATTTGGATGTATGTTGGAAAACCTCAGCTTGTTACTTAATCTGCAGCTTTATGCTCTGGCACTTCTCATAGATATGATCGGGCTTTGCAAGCCTAATATGAGTGTCGCACTGTAAACTGCTGACTGCAAATGGAGATTTTCTTAATTGGCTAATGAGCTTCTCTGCGACACATGTTTGCCGTACTAATGGCGGCACTGGTGGTGCTTCTAGCGGAGACGAGGTCCCATTGCATGTGCTGGGACTTGATTGTTTTCAGTGTCTATATCTAGACAGCATAGTCTTTTTCCATGTTATAGCTCAAGCAAACTGTGCTCAAATGAGTTGAGTTTTATTAAGACAAAAAGGGTAAATATAAAATATACAGACGAGGGTTCCAAAGTACGCGAATACAACGGGACCCTGAAATATGTTGTTTTCAGTAAGAGGCTAGCTACCATTTGTAGGACGAACTGCATAGTGAGAAAGCTAGCTTTACAATTACGAAAAAGGTCTATTAAGCCCAGTAGGGATCAAATTTCTTGATAATGATTGGCTCCCTTCTGCAACTTGCCTAAAGGAAGCAGTTACAGTCAAGAAATTCAATCCAGATAGGCCCATCTGCGATGAAAGGTGACGTATAACACCATTCTCAGTTCCATCAAAGAAAACCTGACACTGAAAGAAGGGAGGACTGCTACCAGCAACCTTTTGTGGACCTATTGCTGTTTCTCTTCTAACATAAACGAACTACTTTCTCATAGTGATATGAAGTTCGTTATACTGTGGAGGCAATATATTTTAAAGATAATAAGCTTCACTTTAATTTTTGTGGCTTAACGCTTGTAGCTTGGCAGGGTGCTGCTGAAATGCTACGGCACAATTCTACCCCAGTGGCTTCATTTTAATGATGGTGAAATGCTTGCATTATTATACTTTAGCACCTGTCAAAGAACCTGAATTCAAACAATGTGGAGTCGCACACTGCGGTGAGCATCATAATCAGATAATGATTTTGGCATGCGAAATCCCAAAGTAGATATTTTTTAAAAAGTATTTCATGAGTGTGCTACCAGCATATAAGTAGACTTGGCGTTGTGCTGCGATAAAAATTAGGGGACCCTAAAGCTTTGCCTTCATGAGTTGTAAACACGATAGTGACATCCTGTTCCTAGTGTGTACTTGAAACACTTGGTGTGCATGAAACCTTTTCGAATTTTCTGTGCGCTCACTACGTGGCTTTAAGGGATTATGTGCAGTAGCGTGTGTGCCTTTTGTAGTGGTGTACCGGCTTTCAACCACGGAGCCATTATGATAATCACATATTTTGAAGCCCATTAGCATTGGACACTTGTACTATGCATTACTGTAATATGTCATGTTGCATTGGGAAACATGTATACAGGACGCGTGTGTTTGTGAAGCATGACAGCTACTTTCACTGTATTTTCAAGCAGAGGGAGTTCTTTTCACTGTTTTCACAAGCAGAGGTATGCCCGTGTGGTAGAACATTCGCTTGCCACTCAAACGACCCTGGTTCGATCCCCACTTAAACCCAAACAACCCTGGTTCGGTCCCCACTCTCTTCCAGGAATTTATCTGCATCGTTCTCGATTATTTGGTTACGCATAAGATGATGATTTTTTTGCTCACAACCAACGATGTGGACGCCGGAATTTTTGTGAAACGAGCTCTTCAACGTCATCGCATTAAAATACGAATTACTGAAACGCAGAAAGTATCCCGAGCATGTACACGCACTCGCACAAACTGCGCCACCAGGTGGTTAACAGTAACTAGTGTTTGTCAGACGTGGCACTATTTTAACGTGCTTCAACTTGAAAACACTTTTTATAAATGGTAGGTACAGGAAATATTGCATTTACAGACAGTTCACTTTTCACTCTTGCATCTCGTGGTTGTATGAATGGGTAGTGCTGCCATTAATGAGGCTGTGCCGATAATTTTTATGCTTGCTTTCTTTGCTACCCTTATGAGACCTTTAATTTCATAGTTGACATTCTTATTGTCTTTTTCTAATACATGCGTGTCTGTGTCTGCTAAATTTTCTCTAGTTCTAAGCATTGTCCACTGCAGGGGGTTAGCAGGTAAGGCTTTTTTGCAGCCAATCGGGAATGGGGGGCGGCTCAATTTCTGGTCATGGTGGCCACATTTTGATTGGGGATGGTATGCAAGGACTACTGTGTATTTGCATCTCTCATAATCATATGGTGGTTTTGGGACAATAAACCCCACATATCAATCGACTCCTGTGTATTTAGATAGGTTCATGTTAAAGAACCCCAAGTCATGTATACTAATTCATAGTCGCCCACTATGGCATTCTTCGTAGTCCTATTGTGGTTTTTGGCGTAATTTTAATTAGCTGTAAGGTTGTGTTATTCTACGAACACATTTAAGGCTGGCAAGTTGAATGAAGATTCTGGAAATGCTTATTAAGTTCTACACTTCAGCCATTGCATTTTCTGTTGCAATACATTTCCTGTGCAAGGAATCATTGCAACTCTGCTTGTACTTGATGGATTTCAAAAATTTTTGCTACAATGTACTTGTGAGGCATGAAACACCAGTGTTACAATCATTTCATGATTACTTTGGAAAGTGTTGCAGTACCGATTTAATGCACCTCGTATCCCTCCAATGATCTAACTTCGGTATGCACTGGCAAGGAAAAGTTCTTGAGACTGCAGCATCAGCAAAAAATGCAAGTTATTTAATGTATAAGTGCAAACATGAAATATTATTGATTTGTTGTATCGGGCAAGCAGTAATGCATACTAGGCTCTGCTTAAGCTTAATCAGCATACGAAGACAGCTGTGTTTTTTTTTTTTTTTTGAGCACCTCTGTTTTTGAACATCTGCTTATGAGCATGTCTTCAAAATGAATAAAACGAACTTATAGCACAAGACTTACTTTTTCTTCATGAATCTGCATGTTTCAGTTCATCTGACAAACAATATAATGGGTGTTTTTGTTATTTTTGTAAGTTTTTTCTTAGTTCAGGTTGTGTTGACAACTCTGTAGCCCATAGTTTTATGATGTTCACTGGCAGTTTAAAGTTTTATGCTTTTCATATCTTCATGTGGTTACGGTAGCTAAGCAATGTATATGTGGGTGTCTGCACCTTTGGTGCATTTCTTCTGTTGAGCTTTTCGAATCCTAAAACATGTAGAATGCTATTGTGCCGGTGTATTTTTCTTTTTTTAGGACATCTATTTTAGCTGATTTTGTAATTCAGTGCTTAATTTAAGTGAGCACTTATTGAACTAATGAAAAATTTTTTTTCAGCCAAACCACCTCGGAAGCTGACATTTATGTATCTTGCAAATGATGTCATCCAGAACAGCAAAAAGAAAGGACCTGAATTCACCAAGGAGTTTGGTACCGTTTTGGCTAAAGCCTTTGCCCACATATCTGTGTAAGTCTCATGTTGCTGTAGTTTTGGTGTCACAATAAGAGAACTTGGAATCTACTATCAAGCCAATATTTTTCTTTATCTCGTGGTAGAAATTTGTCACTGAAGCCTTAAATATGACAAGTGTTTATGTGAGAGATTAGGGTGCCTACCAACCTGGAAGTCAGAAAATTTGGACCCTTCTGGAAAAGTCGGGGAATTTCGAAAAAATCTGGCCTGGTCATAGAAACTGACTGTAGCCTGTGCGATCATCACAAAAATAAGCATTGCCATAGATCAAAGCTTAAAAAGCCACTGCTTTGACTGCAACGATAATGAACAGCTAAAAGCTGTGTGAAAAAAACAAAAAAAAAAACGGTGTGCAACTGTTGCTTCTCAGTGAAGACGCGATAGGATACACCTTCCAAAATATTACAAAGTTTACTGACATTATGGCACCCACTACGGGAGCCTTGTTCAATATAATAGCCATAAAAAAGGCACAGCATCTCACTACAGTTATTTTACTTTGGGATCCTTGCCTGTATGTTTGTTGACCTTGTGACTTTTTTTTTTGTTTGAAAACAGCGAGCTAGAAATTAAAAAAAAAAAATGAAGTACGCCTAAGTACATGATGTAAGCACCGGAAGTACAGTCAACCACAAGAGTTTGCGGACCACGCGAGCGCATGCCAAACTGCCTGTCTGCGCCATCTACCATAGACCGCAGTGCTGGGCCGGAAATGGGTCTCGTTATGCACAGGCCTCTCAGTTTGCATTGCTACTTCACAGTTTTTACATGAAGCGCTTATGTGCACTGTGACTCACTTTTCTATTTTCATAGCAGGATCGAATATATTGCGGTGTACTTCCAACAGCATTCCAAAAGCTGGGTATCATTTTGTGATTAAGATCGCGACTGATCGCAGTTATGACCATAGACTATTCTCGACGCAGGAGCACGGGGAAGCAGGTGCCAAAGAGCGTGTCGTGTTAGAAAGTGAAAATTATTTGTATGTAGTCAGAAAACAGATAGGTCACATATTAAGGAAAGGATGAGTCTCTGGCACTGCGGTGCTGTCGATCACCGCTGACGTAGCGGAAATGTCGTGAAGAGGCTTTTGACTACGTGCCCGCATGGTCCGTAAACTTTTGTGGTCGTCTGTACATCGTTGGAAGCCCATCACTCCTGTTCAGCATGTGGGCAGTTGTCTGCATGTGCTGGTATTTCAGGGGCAGGCATGATGCAAGCTTTCCTTTGACCAGAACACGCACACTTGACCAGTCAGTTCGGAGCCCTGTAGAAACCACATGTTTAGCGAGGGCATGTGAGGTCACATAGTTTTCTGATGTCATATTCGTGTTTTGTTTACCGGCGAGGAAAATAAACTTTTGTAGATGGTCAATTCTGGGTGATAATGAATGAGGGGGGGGGGGGGCTCTTTCCTTGAAATCAGTGGCCTCACCGATGTGCTGGTTGTTGCAGTTGTGACAGCTTAAAGTAAAAATAAGACAGTGGGAAGTTTTGCTTGGCAACTTGTCCTTCATGTTGTCTAAAGCGTTCCCTAGCTTCCATATTCGTACATGCACTATGTTGATGTCTGTTGCTTCTACATATCACACTGCATATCTGACTTTTCAGCCACAATGCAGTTCACATCGTTAAATTTGTGCATGTTTGTCTTGACCATGATTTGGCTCGGTTTGAAAGTGTTCTGGTTTGGCTAGGACTGCCATTAGCAGAGGCCGGGCTATGTCATGCCTTTTATTATTATTATCAGGGGTGAGACAGCTGCGCATATTGCACATTTTTGGTACATTTCTGTTTTCTTGCGCCAAGCTGCTCCAAAAGCATAAAAATCAAGAACTGCTCTGAAACAGCCTCGAAATCTATAATTTTGATGCCAACCTCAGCTTCAGTGGGGGAAAAAAGGGCCAGTTTGACTAATAAGACCCACCGAAATTTATTTTTTTTCACTTTGCACCTTTCTGGTGACAAAGGCTCCCATGGTGCCACTATAAACTTTAAACTTTTGCAAATATGTCTGACCCCCTGAAATGTGCTGCCGTGCATAAAGTGGGCTGCTTCTAGCTAGGCTGTGTGTTCTGGTGCCACTGTCTGCTAGCAAAAACCATCGAGTCGGGTGGCAAGCTTAGGGGGGTTGACTTTCCGTTTCTTTGTTGTACGTTGCGCGTTCCACCGGTCACTGTGGCTTTCATGTCGACGCTGCTGCGTGCGGTCACCTACGAGTAGGTGTTTGCCGTGAGCGAGTAACTGTAAACGTGGAGTCATTCCCCTGCACGCGACACGTCTCCCGGATGCTCTGGTGCATGCAGATGGGTTCCATGAGCCCCCCCCCCCTCCGGTGATACGCCCATGCGTTGACTCCTCATATTGTAGTAAGAAGTAAATGGCATTCCTGTGTGTATTTTTTTGTTCAGAAAACAATGGTTAGCACTTCAGAAGGACGAAGGCTGAAATGTCTGCTGCAATGCACACATTCTAGTTTTGTGCTAATGTGTTTTTCAAAGAGGATAAATGTTTGTTTATATTTGCCGCATAGCTCATAGCAGTTTCCTAGGCTGTTGGTGCTACTGATAAAACATCGAGCTTGTCAGATTTAAATTATTTGTTGATCAATTGCTTGGTTGTTTGTGCTTAATTTTTCTTTCACCACTTGCTGGTTATGGTAGCTTAGCTCATAAGGCATCCTGCTGCTAAGCTCAACGTTGTGGGTTTGATTCCCTTATCATCGTGGCCTCATTCCAGAAAGGTGAAATGCAAGAACACCTGTGTATTAAATTTAGGTGCACAGTGAAGAACCCGGAGTGGTGAAAATGAATATGGAGCACCCCATTATTATGTGGCTTATACAATTATTTTGGTTTTGGCTCATAGAAGCTCTGAAAATTTTTACTACTTTAGTCTACTTGTTCATTTTTTTAAACATAGATATATCATTTCTGACTTGTGTGAGCACATCTGTCTTAATGAATTCTTACTATACTTGGTACTGTGATATTTAAAAATGTTGACCCAAGTAATAACACTGTGTTCACAATTCACAGCATGCTTCTAGAAAGACTCCAAAGGCATTTTGCCAGAACTATTGCTTGTTTTGGTCTTGGTAGCATATCTTTTCCTGTGAAAGCCCTCAGAGGCTTGTTCTTTTAGATGGGACTTGAAAATGCGGCTTCATATATCACTGCACCTCTTCTCTTCTATGTGTTGCCTATTTGGGTAGGGAAAAAAATTTTTAAAAATAGAAATGACTGCAGATATGGTAGGGGAGCTGATGTACCAATTCAAAGCAGCATTGCTGAAAGGGTGACACAACTGCATTAAAGCACGAACAAAAGAAATAAATATAAATTTAAGGGCTTGTTTTCTTTGGTAACTTTTTCAGCCCTGAATTTTTTATTTTGGTTGGATACACATTTTGTGCGTGTTTTTCTGGTAGTTAGGACCTCAGAAGACCACAAGCAAAAAATTGAGCCACTGGTACAAGCATTTTTGGATTAACGTGGCATTTAATTAGGTGATTAGGACCCAGTGATTGGAAAATGAAAAAAAATGGCTTTTTTCCTGCCAATCAATGGTGTACACAAAATGGAAACCAAAATCATACTTTTCAGCCTAATACTCACTGAAACAGCTTCAGTACGTCATTCCGAAAATGGCGCTTACGTGCCTCGGCTTCACGGAAGACCTCGGTCGTGCTTCTTCTTTTTTGTGGCTGCTACCTCCGCAAACGTGCCGCAATATTGGTGTTAATTGCAGTGGGGATCATTGCAGAACTATGCCTCCAAGAATGAGTAGTATTGGTTACGTTTCCGAGATACTAGGGGAAATGTGGGGTGGTGTCAATTGACACCGCCAGGGCCTAAAGGGTTAAAAGAGAACTAACAGAGTGAGCCAAGGAAAGTATAGAGGATGTTATTAAAGGTAGATGTGAGAAAGCAAAAACACAGTCCTTGCCCGTGGCAAGTAATCTTTTCGCCCATTTTTCTTTCTTCACATTTACATTACCATTACTTATAATAACACCCCCTATACTTCCGTTGGCTTTATGTCTGTCAGTTTCCAGTCAAACAAAGGCATTTTAGTACTTCCGACTACCCTTTTTTTGCGGAATACTAAAGGTGTCTCAATTTTGTGTACTTAAAAAACTTCACAGTTAATGTGCTATTAACATTTCAAGGGATGTAAAAATAATTAGCTCCTTAAAATGTAACTGCTGTATTTTTAGTGAGAATGCACCTTCTTATGCACATCTGTCACGACCTCATGATGGATCGTGTATCTAAAGGTGTGCACTGCTTATGGTCCTTAGCTAGCAAAAAAAAGGGGGATGAGCTAGATGGGGCTAGAATCACTGGTTATGGCATAAAGGGGTGCCAATAGAAAAATTTATGGTTTTGCAACGATAGCTGTTGTCGGGTGAGTGTAGTCTTCTCTCGCCAGTACACAAGTTTTCTGTTTGTCAATCTTTCAAAGATGAGTTGTCACATAAATTGCAGTTACTATCAGTCCAGGAGCTGTGGTTTTTGTTAGCATGGACCACGAGTGATGAAAGTACTGCTCTTGCCTCTAAACACAGTTTTTTGTGAGGTGCTCAATGCAAGAATTAAAATTGGTTTTAACACTGATGTTAAAACCAATTGCTTTTTGTTTTTTCTCTTTCAATGTACAACAGCAACATCAGAGTAGGCAAAAGTTTCATATTCGAATGAATGTGTGGACTCTATAGGAATTCCTCAGTTCTGACAAGTTCACTGTTAAGTACCAAGATATACAGACACGGTAGCTTTTAAGGCAACCTATAAAAAAAACTGTTAAATAGCTGCACGATCATGAAATTTCATGGCAAAAAACCTCCACAGTCCCTGAATACCCAATTGTGTACCGTTGATTTAAAGGCTACAGATCGTCACAATTCGATATCCGCGTGTTCAAATTTGTCTTGGCACAATAAGGATGTGTTGCTTTCACGAAACCCTGAGAAGTTGCGCCGTGTGTCTAGT